ATTCCTCTTTTTATAGAATATTCTAAGCTTAAAACAAGACTTGCTTGCCTTAAACTGTGAACTTTTATGCTGGAATTGGCAAATACCATCCGCTGGCGTCATTTGTCGCTTACACCCTGATGCGCGCAAAATGTTTAAATTCAGTAAAACATTACAGGAAGTCGTATCAACGAATATGCAAGAGAGTACCTTAACATTAGAAACAGATTGTGAAACAATTACGATACCAATATAAGATGTATTTGTTAATGATATTTAATAAAATAAAGTGATATATCTCCGTGTAATGTAGCTTTTTATACTCTTGATAGAGAGATTTGTATGTCTAAATGATCAGGATGAAAATACGAGCTAAAATCCGTCTGTGGAAGCTGTGACATCAGTAAAAAATTTTATATACAGTGGCCCACAGCTTATTTCTTGCAGATTAAATTTATCGGTTTATATTGCCATAAAATGGAAAATAATGGCAATTAAAGAAAAATTTAATGAATATATATTCTACAATGCGTTACTAATACAACAAGCAAAGTAAAGTTCGTGAAAGTACAGTCTTATATCGACAACGGCATGAAATTCAGCTGCATTCTATGAATTTTGCTCACAAAGTGTCGAGTGGAACAAAATTGGAACAAGAAGTACAAAAAATATTAGATAACTCCATGCCAGCTAGGCTAAAAGCTGTACTAAAAGCTGGCAGATGTCATACTAAGCATTAAACAAGTTTTAAATAAATTGTTTAGCTAATTTTTAGTAAAAAGTGTGTACGTTTCTGGTTTTTTGTTTAGAAGTTGTTAATTGATAATTAAAAAATAATAAAAGGAGTGTCTTTTATAAACTACACATTCATATTAACTAGAACTTCGAATTATTTCGATATGTGTTTTTGTTGTCAATATGTAGCATTTTAAATTTCGTAATTTAATGTGCATGAATAAGCTGTGAGTCACTGTATGCCACTCGATGAAACTTGGTAGTCATGATACTTAGCCCCATAACAATTTGGTATTGCAGATGGACTGAATCGATCAATTTGCCACGTGAACAAAACGCAATTAATATTAAATTCATAAAGTGACCTAACTAAGCTCCACAATGATTTACAGACAGTCCTGTACAATTTTTGTATTTAGTACAACGAATTGCATTAGGGGGGCATCTACAGTTTAATATTAACCCCTTGACGTATCAATTAGCGCAACGAAATTCGCTTCGAACTTTCCGCACACAACTTGCACTAAACATGTTACAAATGACTAACACGCTTATTTTACAATTTACAAAAAATAAAATAGTACCATTTAATTTTAATGCGTAACAAAAAATATGGGTAATTACACAACTGATCTGCAGTAGATAATGCACTCAACTGCATTTCTGCCTAGGCTTTCCCTTTCTTTATTGTTTACGCATTAAAATCTTTTAGAAGGACACACGCTATTCTGAAAGATGAGGAAGAGGACATTTTAAAATACCCAATATACAAGTTTAAGGGCGATAACACTAGCTTTTCTTCATGTCCAAAAACAGGAAAAGTCTGTATTAGAAAAGGATACCAAAACAGTATTAATTGTTATATCCGCTAATAGCATCGTACTGAAAGTGGTTAGGTGAAATGTGAGCTTTCTACGCAATTGTTGGTCTTAATAGTTTTTTTTAAATATTATTTACTATATACACATAAGTAAATATAAGCTTTATATTGACATTCATTATTGTAATATATTTTACTGACTTTATTTTTATTTTTAATTTTTTTTTTTTGGTATTGTTTTTTAAGAGAATTGTCGGTATTTATTTATTTTAAATTGTTGTGAGCACTCTTTTGTATATTTAGTTTCCTAAAATTTTGTTACATAAAATTTTTTCACATTGTATGTAAATGTGTACATTGTCTATTTTATTGATTTGCTTTTAATAAATATGCATTATTAATTCCTTGCACTCCGCAAGATTTTAGACGTTGACTATCAGCTACTCAGCGCCACTTTACAGCAGGAACAAACATTTATAAACCATCTTACAACTTATTACAATTTTCGAACTAAGTCACGTCAATATTTTATTGTTTAACACACTCCTCCCCAATATGCAATGCGGGCTGGTTGGTGTTTGTTTGACAATAATATATAATAATAACAAACCAAATTGAGCTCAGCTTTGAAAATCTTTTCGTCCAGATTTAGACTTGTTTATTTATAAAGTGGTTCCGACAAGTACTCGGACCCTCAATTTCTGTATATATGTATCTCTTTGTAATTTTGTAATTTTACGATATTTTGATGTTATTCATGTGCTATTTTAGGAGAAACATGCATGTCTCAAAAAGTTTCTCCGAAATAACTCAATTGGTTCGTAATTACTAATAAACTTGGATTCCCCCTGAGAGGAAAGTGCAAAGGATTCCTTCACGTTAAGTGTCCAGTTAATGAACCAATTCTCATTGTTTAAAAAAAACTCTTCCGTCTTTTCACTGTCACATTTACTCTATCAGGTATTAAAAATATTTCGATTTCTATGAGGAAACAGCTATGTAAAACCTAGTTTTCGAACAATTTGTTGGTATGATAGGCCGGAATTTCGATTCGATATGTGTAAAAAAATAAAAAAAAATGAAAAAACTGCTTTAATGGAAACGTTTATATTGTAACACACAATTAAGATTAGAATTTACAATAGCATCACCCTATTTCCGGGTTAAGATGGGTATTTACGGATTGAGGTCCTCGAGATTAAGAAAATATATATGTACATATATATATAGTTGCAGTTGACTTATGGTTTTTGAGATATTTGCATTTAAAGTTCAAAAATTCAACTACTTAAAATACGTGTTTTTTTACACTAATATTTTTAACTTTTATATCAACTAACACGTTCCTATTTCAAAAATAACTTTAATTATACCCTCCATACAAAATTCATTGTGTGACGATTAATGTAAAATCTTTCAGAACTTTCATTACCTTGATAAATCCCGGTGTTTGCCCGAAGGCCGCCAACACAAAAAGAAGTTCAACGCGAAAATACTGAAAACTTCCAGGTGTCGGTCCAACCAGGATTATTTTTTTGAAGGGTGGCCGAAGGTCGCCAAGGTAGAAAGGAATTCTATGCGAAAAACTAATAATGTGTTGTTTATTTCCTCATTAGGGTATTATTTGTTTTCTTTATTTTTTTGGTTCTTTTGTAAATATGTACGTTAACCTATTATTAGTTAGGTTGCAACCCTTTTGTTATTGTGTGAGCAAAAAGAATTGAACAAAATTTAAATATTGAACATTAGTTATTTTTGCACTATTTAAAATAAAATAAAAGGGGAGAAACGAATAAGTGAAGTATTAGTGGATATAAAAGTTAAAAATATAAGTGTAAAATTCATTACAAATAGGAGAAATACGCATTTTAAATAGTTGAATTTTTGAACTTTAAATGCAAATAACTCATAAAAAAAAATTGTAAGGAAGGCCTAAGTTCGGGTGTCACCAAACATTTTATACCCTCGCATGACAAGTTTCATCAAGATATCTCAATTTTTACTCAAGTTACAGGTTGCACGGACGGATAGCAGACATCAGGATTTCAACTCTACTCGTCACCCTGATCACTTTGGTATATGTAACCATATATGTACATATCTGACGATATATACCGTTGTTAACAACTTTATTGCGAGAGTATAAAAATGACGCCCTCTGAATTACATGAAAATATCTGAGAGATTTACCGATATTTTCGGTAAAAAATTAGGTTAGATTAGGTTAGGCACTGAGTTCTTCGTGTTCGATATGAGGGACCTTGAAAAGTTATAGTCCGATCACGACAATGTTTCCACAAGGGATACCTCAGCTCAAATACCGTATTTGTGTAAAGTTTTATTCCGCTTTCATCATCATTGGTTGCTAATGTATATATAATACAGAGAAGGCAATATTATATTATTGCAATAGCGTTGTAGTAGAAGAAGGCGTGGTTGTAAACCGATTTTACTAATATATTCAGGGTGTTAAGAAAATATTATATACCGAATTTCATCGAAATCGGTCGAGTAGTTCCTGAGATTTTTTTTTGGTCCATAAGTGGGCGACGCCACGCCCATTTTCAATTAAAAAAAAAAAAAAACTGGGTGCAGCTTCCGTCTGCCATTTCTTTCATAAAATTTAGTGTTTCTGACGTATTTTGTTAGTCGGTCAACGCACTTTTAGTGATTTTCAACTTAAGCTTTGTATGGGAGGTTGGCGTGGTTATTATCCGATTTCTTCAGTTTTTGAACCGTATATGGAAATGCCTGAAAGAAACGACTCTATAGAGTTTGGTTGACATAGCTATTGTAGTTTCCGAGATATGTAGTAGGCGGCGGGGGCACACGCCCACTTTTCCAAAAAAAAAAATACGTCCAAATATGCCCCTCCCTAGTGCGATCCTTTGTGCCAAATTTCACTTTAATATCTTTATTTATGGCTTAGTTATGACACTTTTTAAGTTTTCGGTTTTCGCCATTTTGTGGGCGTGGCAGTGGGCCGATTTTGCCCATTTTCGAACTTAATCTTATTATGAAGCCGAGAAAATCTTGTACCAATTTTCATCATGATATCTCAATTTTTATCCAAGACAGACATCTGGATTTCAACTCCTTTCGTCACCCTGATCACTTTGGTATATATAACCCTATATCTGACTCTCTTAGTTTTAGAACTTACAAACAACCGTTACGTGAAGAAAACTATAATACTCTCCTTAGCAACTTTGTTACGAGAGTATAACAAGTCAACGGCAACTATATGTACATATATTTCCGCACATACCCATTTTAACCACAATATCGGGGGATGCTATTCTAAGATTTACCCATTAGATCACACTTAAAAGGGCTTTATAATCACAGTAGCTCATAAAATTAATAATACAGGTATACATACACACGTGATGCGTTTCAAAATGTATACCTACTATGTAACAACCTTTTAATTAAACCATTAATATGTTATACATATTTCGCTTACCTCCACAACGTTAAATTCGTCTTCTTTCGCTTCAGCGCCCAACAAAATCTGTTTGATGATGAGCCTTTGTCCGCGGGGAAAATCCTCATCATTGGAAAGCACATCCCATGGCACTGAACTATCCTGGCCAGTGAGTGTGACACCTAACGATAAAAATAAATAAAAATTTAACACGAATTCTCTAAATTATTCAAGTCGATAGATTTGTATGCCAAACTATTCTTGGAGATTCTAATCACAACCGGTAACCAAGAGCAGACGGCGCCATTTTTAGGCTTGTTAAACTGTATTGCCAATGCAAAAATTCTTAAAATAGTCCCTGCAAGCTATTTAACCGAATGCAATAATTTATATTTACCATAAAACGATTCCTCCGACATTGTGATTGCTTAGATAAGTTTTGATTTTTTAGTTAAGAAATACACGCTAAGAATTTGCACAGAAAACCCGAACAGCAATTGTGTAAATCGAACAAACGAGCGAATGAACAAACGAACGAACTAGCAAAAAGGAAATGATTCTCTGGTCCAAATCAAGCCGGCAAGACGGGAAAGGAAGATTGCGAAAAGATGCCGTCAACTTATATTTGCTTTAACTCGACTATTCGCAAAATGATTCCTGAAATAAACGTCAAAAACAAACCGCTTCAGAGTGTTGCCACATGAACTCATTGAAATCTCTTAAATACCAAACTGTTTATGATTAAATGATGATAATTTTACTAGTGATACATATAGGTTCAGCATTATAAGTAAGCTGTTATTTATAAAAAAAACTAAGATCTATTCTGAAATTTGATAAGAAATGTTTTCATATCACAAACATATTGAGACGTTGATTACCTATTATTTAAACACTCTTGAAAATCGTATACGATATATACAATTTATACTATTTTTGAGGATAAAAATGAATAACGCCGACAGATACGTATCAAAGCCAACTTGAATCAACAAATTTACCATTGGCAGCACTACAATAAAGTTGTTTTCTTTGACGCCATTTTTATTCATGCTTGCTTCGTGACAATTTTCGATTCTTGGTTGTCATATTTCACATTTCAGTCTTGCACTTTAAAAGATTTGATATTCATTTATATTTGCCGCTTTCTTTGAATACATCTTCGTGTGTGTTGGTTCTGGTGGTTGGCACGTGTAGTGTTTGACTAAAAATTAGTAAAAAGTACAAAGAATCTGACATTGAAAACTATTTAATCTCTACTGAAAATGGAGCGAGAGGAATTCTATGGTAACCATTTAAATTTTGTATCCTGAACATAAATAAAAAATATTTCATAGGCAGGTTGCTTTCTTAATTTAGAACTTATTTATAAAGGTATGGTATATACTTTTGTTTCAGGAGTGACGCTTAGCGAAAAGGAACCTTTGGCGCAATATGAAATGGAAGAGCCAACTACTACCGCCGAAGACCAAAAATTGGTAATCAAGCAGATTTGCCTTGGTGCTGAAGCTAAAAACGGTGAATTCAATGTAGTACAGGTGAGTGTCTGTTTAACGAATACAGGTGTAAGTAATGAGGAAAACGTGTCGTTTTTAACTCGTTTATTTTTGTTCCAAAAAAGCTATTTATTTTTACCGAGGGAGAATGTTTTGCTTAGTACAGTTTTATTTTTTTTATTCACAATGATTGAATGAGAGTATGCATTCTTTGAACATACATATTTATATAAACAAAAAACCCAAAAAAATATTTTCAGGTGGAAACAAGAATTAATCAAAAAGAGACATTAAAAATACCAATTGCGGTACTTAAAGCTGGAGAAACGCGCGCTTTACGTCCCAATGTAGAGTTCTTGAATACTTCAGTGACATTCAAGCTAATTCAGGGGACAGGGCCCGTTCATATGTACGGTCAAAATTTATACGGTCAAAACTCTGTTGAGTATGGTGAAACCCCTTGGTCTGAAAATGAAGAAATGGATGATGAGGATGATGATGAATACGATGAAGAAGCGTCACCGCCACCACAAACAAATGGAAATAAAAGAAAATGAATGTAAATTATATTCAGCAAGAAGAAATTATTGGTTATACCCAAGTTAAGTTTATTACATAAAAGGATTGTAATAGAAATCATATTTTTGTACATTTAAAATAAGAATATTGACCGTATGTCGACAGTTTGCTACCTTTAAAATAATTGAAAGGAAAATGTATTATTGTACTATGGAATGATGATTAAAATTAATTGCTAATACAATAAGGAAACAAATTTTAACTACGAAAGTAATTTTTATATTAGAAAAAGTAATTTCAATTTTACTGTACAACTTCCATTTATTTTCTTATATAGTAATAATATTAACTCTATTAATAAGACTTTTCCAAACGAAAACCATCTACTTTGTTTTCATTTAATAATCACTATTAACTATTTTCATGTGTTGGAGACAAATTTTTCATTCATCGTTTGTTACCAACTCCTAACTAAGTTAAATAAAATATTAAACTACGAAAGTAATGATATATCAATTAAAAAAAGACGTTGAGTCTAAAAGAAATACATTTTCATTATTGTTGAACATGATTTACAAAATTTGATTGTGTGTATACATACAGCGTATGGGTATGTACAATTACATGTGTATTTACAAAACGCATCCTTGACTAAAAGTGTTTATACTCAAGCGTTTTCACTCCATGATTTTACGGCAGGATTGTAAAAGTTAAGGCAATTTTGCTACCGTTTCTTGATTATTATTTCGAGAGGATATTATAGAATTTAAATAAATTTTAAACAACCAATTTGACCAAAGATTAGACATGATAGTATAAACAGTATTGAACATATGGTACAATGTTAGCCAGAGTCGAAATACTTTCAGTCACGGCTGCATAAATATACATATGATTTTGGCATGTACATATTTGAAAAAGCTGTGTGCGTTTCATCTGATCCTCTGTATATAAATTAAGTAATTCGTATGCACCCGTTTATCCGCTTCATTTTATTGTAACACTTGTTACATTCGCGATACAGATATTTTTTGACGCGGAACTCTGTAATTGATAATAAATCAAATTTTCATATTGGACGTTAGTGTCTTAAAAAGGAAAAAGTAAGAATTTATATACATGTGTTAATTGCTTTCGCATGCTGACCGGGGTGCACCCGCGCGCGCGCACACGCACCTGATGTGTATAACTCGTCGGCGATCGCTGGGATGAATTAAATCAAGTTTACTACTCCATTCCAACTGTTTCATTTCGTGGCGTAGTTTTTTACGGTCAAAGTATGAAATTACACAACTGACTGGAATCCAAAATATTGAAGTGATAACTACGACGGCCACTGAGAATATAAATAATAATGAATAAAATAGAAAAGGTTTTTAAATTCAGCATTATACTTACTGACAATATTGTCTTTTAAAAAACGTAAAACGCGATTGATATTTATCTCTTCGATGATATCCCAAAAACGTTCTACAACATCTTGAATAGTTTTTTCACACACACCCTTAGAGTAAAAAACCCATAGAAGCGTTTTGGTCAAAAGAATAATAATTTTTTCGCATTTACCTTGTTGCAGAATCCTTGTATACAAGGCGTACCATCGGGTAACATATCGGCGGGCTCCACTGGAAAACAGGTTTCGTTTATGCTCATACGGCAGCAACTGCGAGTGTATGGAACAAAATATTAGAAATAAAAAAATCAACATATTTGTTTAATTTATAAAATTACCGTTTGCAAGCATCTTGTATGATGTCGCACATACAGCTCTGCAAACCTTGAGTCTCACAAAATGGTATGCATTTACCGTTTCTGCATTGCCCTCGTTCTTGGCATATTGTTCCGTCAGCCATTGGCGGAGATTTCGGACATTCGGCATGAGTACCCGAACAGCGAGCCTCCTGCTCACAAGTAGCATACTGGGCGTCCCGACAGTTCATTCCTGCCGGCATGAATTGGCAGTTTTGGCAGCAAGGCGAATTTTTATCGCTACACACTGCTCCCTGGTTTCGACGCAATTTGCAGTTCTTATCACAGCAAGCGTCATTGTCTTCGGTACCGAGCAAACCCGCGTCGCACTGTTCATCGCCTTCAACCCGCAAATTACCGCAGAATGATTCTTCGGGTTCCGAGAAACATCGTCCCGACTTTGCTTGCAAAACTTTGCGTATCGAACGTAGAGAGCACGGTGAGAATTTCTGTATATATATAATTTTATATATGTTCAATTCTGTTACTAAAAGAGTTTACCTTATTATTAACATCATATCCGCTGACAGAATATGTATACATTAGAAAACTTCCACCCTGTGAGGCACTTGGTGAGCATTCTGGTATATCTGGGTCGTGCTCAGACCCCCAATTATGACCAAACTCATGTGCCGTCACTAAATCGGCTTCACGCGTTATAACTCGCTGTCCATAATGATTTCGGGAGCTACTTAGTCCCGAGTTCAAATACAGGGTGTAGCCATTTTTGAAATACTCTATTAAGTAACATATACAAAAAATTTTAAAGTAAAAAAACATATTAAAATGTAAAAATATAGTCTTTGAACCGAACGGGAGAATGTAAAACTAAAAGAAGTAAGCATATTAAAAAGTATATGTGGAAAAAAAATAATGGGATAGCAAATAACAATGTCTATAAGTTTAAACACAAATTATGTACATCGGCATATATTAAAATAGAGGAACAAAATAATGCTTTCAACTGATATTTTAAAACTCGCTTATTTTCATTTTAGTAACCTGGTGTACAAATTCCACCCACGGAATTACGGCGAGGAGAACCCACATATGCCAAGCCCAGAATACCGCCTTCAAATTTTAGATCAGTAAAAAGATGTGCTAAACAAAAATCTTTATGGCTATATTCCCTTGAAAACACCTACACCAAATACAAATATAATAATATTAGGAGATGAGAAGAAAAAGCAGAGAGAGCATAAATGTACAATGGATGGTTGATAACCTCAATAAGGCCTAAAGTTAGCCAAAACTTGCAAAGTAAAATTTTTCACCATATTTACCTCCAGTAGGTTGCGCACATCCCACTTTTCACGAATCATATTGTAATGAGCTTCTCCGCCTCGCAGCCGCGTGGGTTCAGAATGCACAACTATTTTCTTTATCACAAACCCCATACCTTTAAAGCCTTCCTGATCCTTAAAAAAATATATTATTTAAGAGTGAGCAACTACGTTCAGACATTTGTTTACTTACAGTTCGATCCTGCCACACAGTATCGTTGTATATTTTGTGGACCCGATCTATCAGACTTATCTATAAGAATTTTATATGTATTTATTTTATTAAAGTTTTAGATTTTCACTATCTGTACCAAGTAATTTATTGTTGTTTTGGTATTCCCTCCTCCCATCTCTTGAAAAAAACGATAATCGGCCACAAGCAAAAGTGGGCAACGAGTTTTTGTAGGAGTGTATTCATACTGATCCGCCTGTCGCTTTTTACGAGATTTCGTAACATCATTCTCATGATGTAGATAACCATCCATATTATCATCGGTTTCCAATTCTGTGGATGATATATATATATATATATATATATATTTATTACAAATTACGATGTTATTTCAATATTTACCTAAACCTTCTTTAATATATCCACAAGGCATTTGCCCACCATGAGGACCATTCCCGTGCTTATTCCAATTTAACTTCACATCAGAAATTCTATACGCTACCATCGTGTTCTCTGCCGAACGTGGCAAGTGTCTCCAAGATGGCTCAATGTGATATGTTTCGTCCGGCAGATGTATGGACATTGTCATTAAGCCATTATCTATGTGCGCTCTTACGGATGAATCTAATTCACCAAATACTCGCCCGGTAAAAAAGCTATCGTGATCTGCATTAAAATAATAGAAGTAGATTACGAAGGCTTGTGATTATAAAGGTGCGTGTACCTAAATGCACCACTGTCTCATTACCGTCGCCGTCTACGTTATATGCTTTAAATTTGCTGTGTAATACCTCACGGTGTGGGTGTAGAATAAGTCGAAAATTTTTACCCAAAGTCTTGAACTCTACCTCCTTGATCACGTTATAGGGGTGTGAGCTCTGTTTAATTCCGCGCTTAACAATTTTGTGTCTACAGTCTTCACTGCGAAGTACTTCATAGTGTCGCAAAGTTCTATGTAGTGTTGCTGTGGAATTATTCCATTACTAATTTGTATTTTATTTTATTCATACATTACTTACATGCATTCTGAAGAAAAATTATTAATAAAATTACCAATAAAGCACAATTTCCATGAAAACCTCTAAAAATTGTTGTCATTTTCACTAATTTTCGCACAATATTGATTTTTTGTCCCTTCTGTTTTTCATTGCCACCTTATACCTAAAGATTAAAAGCATATTAAATTAAAACAGAAGAGTGGCAACCTTACTTTCACCTAAATTTGTTGTTGTGAAATATGTAACCATGCGCTCAGTTGTTGAAAAGCGACGTCAATTCTTCGATTGTAAACAAAACATATTGAATGCAAAACGGCAGAAGAAGTAAAGGGCGTATAAAAAAGACCTTAGTATAAATGTCAAACAAAACAATACCAGCTGAGACAGGAACAGAATTTGCTGTAGAAAAGAATAATGCAGTGTACAATTTTCGTACTTTGAAAATAATATTTATGCAAATCAATACACAACCATACAATTATATATAGTTCGATATCGCTAAGTTTGAGTATAGAGTCGAAGAAATAAATAGTCAAATTAAATTTTTCGTATAAGACACATGACAGATAATAAAAAATTCTAATAAATATGTCAGGAGTTCGCCTTGTGGAGAATATCATTATAAAAGCAACACTTTAAAAATTATAATACGGTTCTTAAAGTTTTTCGCTTTTTTATTATCATTTAAATACCTTAAATAAATTGGAAAATGGTACCTTATTAATAATACTTTGGAAAAACTGACTCGCAGTAGAAAAGTTTTATATTATGCAACTTACTATATCTATTGACATTTCAACAGATTTTGGAGGTTTTCAAACAACAACTCAATTAGTTTCTCTAGAGAAATAAAACTCAAATCGGGCAAAGTTGAAAAATTCGAGATACTTAATTTAGTAAATAAAATTTTGTTTACAAGATTTTCGAAAATATGCACTGTATTAGGAGAATAGAAAAAATGAGAGGTAATGTGTTCTCACTTTAAATTGTACTCAAATTCTTTGGCTAACGTTCTCCATTCGCATAAGCATTAGCAAATCAATTTTGGGTAAGAATTGGTAAAAACTGCTAATTAATATTAATAGTATTCTTAACACATAAATATCTTATCTTAAATATCGGGGTAGGCGTCAACAACAAAATATATTATCATACCGATTGGGTAATCGCGCAGTAGAGACGAAACAGGCCAGGTACTCTTCATTAATGATAAGTAGGACCGACAAATGGTAAGTGCATATGTGAATTACTTCATATCTGTGTATAATTGATGAGTTCTAATTAACAAGTGTCTTTGGGACCTTAAGTTAGTCAGCTATTAGTCATAACAATTTGAGAATTTTTCGTTATCGGTGTAGTAAATATTTTTATGTACTAAACAATATAACGATATTGTTCATTTACAGATGAGTTACGATGGATTATTATCACTGTCGCAGTTGACAGATGAGAAGTTAAGTCTTATTCAAGGGAGTACGACTCCACCGCCGCCAAATGCGAGTAAATCAAGTGACAAAACTGCTGCATCCAAAGGGGCGGACAGGGTAGTAGTACCCGCACTTGTCGACGTTACAGTTGAAGAAGAAGAGCAAGCTGCGACAATACAAACCATTCAGTTGCCTTCAGTCAGTAGTGAGAGTAACAATGCAACTTTTATAGGAAATTTGAGTGCATCGACCGCAACAGCCACTGAAACAACAGCGCCTTTTAACACATCAACGGACGTATTAAACGGGGATATATCAACACCGCAACGTAAAATTTCTGCGTCATCACGATTTATGAATGCGTTCCAGCAATTATATTCGAGCGCAACTACTGCAAACACATCGACTGACGGAGACGAGATCGATATTGCGAATTCTACAAACGGAATGCCTGCAGTCAGTCGCACACCCCATAAGGGTATGGAATCAAAACTTTTGTCAATGTGGCATAACGTCAAATATGGTTGGAGCGGAAAAATCAAACCAAATTTTTCTAAAGAGCAGCCAGTGTGGCTTCTGGGGCGATGTTATCACCGCAAATATACTCCACCATCATCCATGGAAAGCTCTACTGAACTCACTACAAACTCCGGTGGCGTAATTTCAACTTCAATAAATAGCAGCTCCTACGAAACGCCAGAACAATGTATGGGTGATAGCCATGCTGTCCCGGTCAGCAATATTTATCCGCCACTCAATGCTCACCAAGTAGATGAAATAGTAATTCCACAAGAATTAGGTATGGATGCGGTAGAGAATCAAGTAGCCGACCATCCATGGGAGGAGGGTATTGAGGGGTTCCGTCGTGATTTTTATAGTCGCATTTGGATGACTTACCGCAGGGAATTCCCGACAATGAATGGTTCTAGTTACACATCTGATTGCGGCTGGGGTTGCATGCTGCGCAGCGGACAAATGTTGCTGGCACAAGGGCTTGTTTGCCATTTCTTAGGCAGAAGTAAGCAAAAAATTGTTTCGAAACAATAACTCAACTCAATATAATTGTATTTTTAAGGTTGGCGTTACGATGCAGAAACGCAGTTACATTCTACTTTTGAAGACAATATGCATAAAAAAATTATTAAGTGGTTTGGCGATAGTTCTTCAAAGAGCAGTCCTTTCTCGATACATGCTCTGGTTAGCTTGGGTGAAGAAATGGGCAAAAGGCCAGGCGATTGGTACGGTCCAGCATCTGTTTCATATCTTCTAAAGTAAATGGTGACGTTTGAAGCAAAATTATGTTTATAATGCGTTATAATAATTTGCAGACAAGCACTGAAAATGGCGGCACAAGAAAATGCTGACTTCGATAATATAACAATTTATGTAGCTAAGGATTGTACCAGTGAGTTATTGTTCATATAAGATATTAAAAATAGTTTTTGATTACACTTTTAAGACGAAGTCATAAACATATAAATAAGGGATCAAAAGAAAGCATAATTGTAAAAAGCCTTTTAGTTAAAAATGTAATAATACTAACTGAAAATTTAATGCATTCTTACTTATAGTTTATATGCAAGATGTGGAAAAAGAATGTCGAATACGAGAGCCGTCTCCTCAAAAGCATGTTCCCTGGCAAACAACACGGCGTACTGAATTGCCAAAATCACTAAAACAACAATGGAAATCGTTAATTCTGTTAATACCACTTCGTTTGGGATCGGAAAAACTTAATCCCGTTTACGCGCATTGCTTGAAACTATTACTGAGTACAGAATATTGCATTGGTATTATAGGCGGCAGGCCAAAACATTCATTATATTTCGTTGGGTTCCAAGGTAATATTATATTATCACATTAATAGAGGGAGGGTATTTGTATTCTTAGTTGTTTATAATTTTTAGAAGATAAACTTATACATTTGGATCCTCATTATTGCCAAGAAATGGTCGATGTTAATCAGGATAATTTCTCATTACAATCCTTTCATTGTAAATCACCTCGAAAATTGAAGACTTCTAAAATGGATCCAAGTTGTTGTATCGGTTTTTACTGTGCTACGAAAATTGATTTTGATAATTTTGTGGAAAGTGTACAGTTAGTAAGTTCAGTTTGTTTGCTTAATTTATGATTTTACTACATTGTTATGCAAACTTTATTTTCTCTAACATATAATTTTTAAGTATCTACATCCGATGCGTTGCACCACCGGATTAATGGATAAACTTACATCTTCATCACATACTGGTGGACACGGTGAAGGTGCTCAATATTCTGAAATCAACTATCCACTTTTTACATTTTCACGCGGACAGTGTCCTGAGGAAGAATGGTACACAATCAATGATTCCCCTTACAAACCATTGCAGCAACAAGTGACTCAAATGAAGCAGGAGTTCGATCTACAAACGAATAGCATGTCATATATTAATGCGCCAGACGATGATGACGAGGAAACTGAAGAATTTGTATTACTCTAAATTGTTTAAGTGAAATCCATACTAATTCATCATATTAATGCATCCTTTCATTCATTTTAATTTATAAGTCAAGCGCCTGCATAATGTGATTGTACAAAAATGTTAAACTCTCACTATTTATTCAGAACTAACTACATATACTATTATCTAAAGCAAAGAATAGTGTCCTCTCATTTGCATCAGTTGGATCCATCCTAAAATAGTACATCCCAAACGTATCTCAAACATATAGACTTACTTAATCTTTGCATATTTAGTAACTCCTTTTGGATAAATATTTTATACATAGTTACAGTGTTACCTGTCTGCGCATTTTAAATGAAACTCATTTCATTTCACTAACTTTATTTCCATTCAAATTGTAGATTAAAATGATTGCCAAGAAGTTTGCCAAACAATAAATTGAAATTGCATATATACTCAGTATTATGAGGTAATGCTTGAGATGAAAGTTTTGTGCATTAATATTAACTTCTTGTTAATGACAGTTGTGATTCAAATATTTATTACATTTTTTTTTATATGGTGTGTAGTACTTCGATGAACGTAAAATATAATTCCACGTTTGTTGTATTTATTTTTGTCCATTTTTAATAAGCGTTGAATCGCTACACTTTTTGTAAATAACACTTGCTTGTTGACTCATTAAACAAATCTCATATTTTATTGTTACAAGACTTATATTCATTATCCAAATTAACTTGAATACTACCGTAGGTAAAATTTAAATTCCAAAGTAAATACGGGTTTATTTCTTGTATGTATGAATTCAGTTTCTTTAATTAACGTAATTACGTTGACATATGATTTATTTGATTAAAAGTACTGAAACATTTATTAATGTACATACATATATACTTAAATATAAGTGATAAATAAATAAATTATAAATCTAATTACATCATACTTACATCGTACCAGTGCGTTTCTAAAATATTTTTTTCTATTAATTTTACTTTCGTTTGGTATACAAAAAATTAAATCTATGTAACCGGAACGGACGATACTATATTATTATAAGCAGATTTCTGTATGTTTGTATACATTTGAAGAAGGCTTGATTCTGGTACATCAATTGTACCAGTATTTTCCATTTTAAAAAGTTTATATACACTCTGAGATGCTTTCTTAAATAAATTTTTAATTCAGTATAATAAGCCCCTAAATTGCCGTTTTGAATTTAACTTAAATACAATAGATGTAACTAACTGTTTAATTCCTTTATCGAATGCCCATAGACGACTTCTGATATTTTTGAATAACAAAGGAATATGTAAATACCTTTTTGGCGCTAACATAGTTACATACATACGTGTTTTTAAGTTACTGAATACTGTATTACAAAACTTGTTCTGTTGAGAACTGTTTTCTGCATCATTCCGATTCTAAAAATATTCCATATAATAATAATTTGGAATTCGCAATTGCATATTCTTAATATTCTATATATAGTAAGGACATTGGGGTTTGAAGCTAAAAACTGTTGGTTATTAATGCTTGAATTATAAATGTTTTACTTAAATAATGAAATTAGACTACACTTTTTAATCTCCATAAAAATTTCAAATAATTGAAGGATCGACAATAACAGAATTTACAACACGATTTTGCTTAATTTTTCTTTTCGTTTTCTCTTTAATAGCTTGGTAAGATTTTCTCGAGCAGTTATTGCTTTTTCGGTATTTAATTTTAATGCATTTTGATAACTCTCTATGGCTTCATTTACTTTCTCCCAACGATGATACAGAACGCCTAAGTTCGTATGAAACAATACATTTAGTGGTTCGACCTCTATTATATGCTTGTACAGCTCTTCAGCTTCCATGTAGTGCTTTAATTTTCCGAAAACGTTAGCTCGTATGAACATAATGCTTGTTTCATTCGGAAGATGGGTTAACGCCTGTGCCGAAACTCGTATAGCATCTTCGTACAGCCCTCGGTTGTCCAGCATTGTGAGTATGTTAGCCCAAGCTTTGGGTTGACGCGGATTCAAAGCGATTGCTTCTTGCCAATGCTGCATCGCTTCACTATTCATTTTCTGATCAAGATAAAGATTGCCCAAGTTGTAGTGACATACAGCATAGTTTTTCCGATATTTTAATGCATTTTTGTAACTTAGTAATGCATTTTCATAATCTTTGCGTGCTGCCTGAACAATTCCTAAATTCATCCAAGCAGTAGCGAAATCAGGTACTACTGCTAATGCTTCTTTAATGTATTTTTCGGCATCGTCTAGCTCTCCCATTTCACGATATATGTTTCCCAAATTCATGAGTGCTGATTCATATTGTGGGTAGAGACTGATTGCCTTATGATAATGTGTGAGCGCTTTGTCACGATCTAATCTATCCGTTGCCAAACGTGCTATATTATAATGAACCTGAAATTTGTAATGCGTTCAAAATATTTGTATATAAAAGATACATCATAGATACCTTAGCGTTATTAGGGCAGACTTTTAATGCCGAAGCAAAAAGACTATCTTCTGATAGCCACTGCTTAGCTCGTTCTCGCGTTCGTAACAGTAGACAGATGAAACATAACATCAGTGTCCACTTATATAACTGTAGCAACCATAGTTTTGTATTGCTGTTATATACAAAGCTTAAACCTTGTGCCACTAAGAAACAAAAGCCAATTGATGGTACATAAAGCACACGTTCAGCTATAACAAACCCAACTTTAATAACTCCTGAAGCCGGCAGAAAAGGTATCACCATTAGGCCCAGTCCAAATAAGGGTGCGAAATTTTGTCTGCTATTAATAATGGCAACCATTGCAAGGGAATACATAGCCAAAACTGCCTGCAAGCGCAAATCCCAGATGTCTGTAATTAATCTAATGCATCCTAAAGCCCAGTCAAAACTTAGCCATTGTGGACATAAAAGAATCCACCAGTTAATAGCATATATATAATTCTGGGAAAGTATGCGAGTTAAGAGATCATCATTAAGCGCTATAGGATTATCCATTGGTTTGAAACGAGGGATCTGAAAATTTTGTAGCCACAAACGAAATATTATTATTACAATAGTAGCAACTACATATGTAGCATTACGAAATGAACAAATGAATTTCAGTTGTGTTCTCCAAGGGTAAACAAAAACCTGTGTTCTCGCGAATTCAAGAAAAATGCATGCAACTGGAATAGTTATAGCTGTCTCCTTAAAGAATATCCCTACTGCAGTCAGTAAGATAATCAATACATCAGTACCAGCACCTAAACAGGTTCTGTGATAAGTAAGCAAGAGCGCTACTAAATAAAATGTGCATAATATCAATTCAGCTCTACCAACAACTCCACAAACTGCTTCTGTGTGAATCGGATGTATTGCGAAAAATGTTGATGCGACTGCGGCTACTTGGTTAGAAACTGTTGTTTCAAACCGGAGCTTGCGAAGAAGTTGCCACACTAGGAGAGTATTTATACAATGTAATAATAAATTAATAGCTTTCATATGTTTGGCACGAAATCCAAAGATAGTATACTCCAAATGAAATATCAATGTTGTTAATGGGCGGTAAGACTTGTGCGATTCTGGGCTGAGTAATGACGTGCCCCAAAAATCATTTTTAAGTATTGATGTCCAATTTGTTGGATAAGTCGTCACATCAACGTTTTTTACGATAGCTACGGTATCGTCGAAAACGAAACTTCCATTGAGTGCGTGTGAATAACTGGCCAAACATAAAAGAATTAAAACACATTGGAAAAGAAGTCGGCTAACCAAGTAATACTTTTCATCACTATTATTTCTCATTAAAGTTTGTTCATTTGGCGTTTTACACTTCTCCATTTCTTATTAGTTTTTTCATTAGTACATAGTATAATAAATAGGTTATATTAATAGTTGATATTTATGACACCCATTCCTCGTTAAAATTTTATATAGACTTTATAGTCAGTTCTTTTATTTTAAAATGCTTGTACAATATCTTTATGGATATATATTTATATATAGATATATACACCGATTAGGGATGGGATAAAACAATAAATCGACAACAGCTGATTCATATTATAACGGATTTCTCGATATATAGTCTACCTTGTCACCTGAATTGTTGATTAAAAGCCCCAATCTAAAGTTTAATTACTAATCTTTATTTCTAATTCCAATAACTTATCGATCCATTACTCACCCGAATTAACAACATCTTCTTTATATCTCATATACTTTTATCACGGCAGCACCTCAAATAGAACTAAAAATGTCTGCTGCACAAATCGGCAGCCCTTATATTCTAGATCATTAGCAACAATCCGTAACTCCAAAATTTAGACATCTCCGAATTTCACTGTCTAGTTGATACGAGTAATTTATCATCGATTATATTTTATTCTCGTATCAGAGTTCGTCACACCGCCCTCCACCTCTTCTTCGAGTATGCTGCCAACTTTATTAGCCGTCCTTCTATTATTGGAGTTAATTCCACCCGTTTTCCGGATACCCCTTTTTACGGCAAAAATTTATATAGCATGTGTCAGGTACAGGTAGCATGTGCAGGAGCGCTACATAATACATAAATAGCCATAGACCATCTTATTTCTTTGCCTTCCTCGTTTACCTCGACTTGCTCATAACCACTTTTCAAATCATACGTTGAGAATCATTTTGTGCCTGATAACGAGTATAATGTGTCGATGATTCAAGGTAGTGGATAACTGTCTTTCTTCAGAACCTCATGCTGCCATCGTTCTTCCTCACAAGTACCACAGGTGAACTACACGGACCCGCCGATGACTCAATCAAGCTGCTTCGCTCATTACGCGTGTGGTCTGGCTTACAACTTTACGCTTTGCTAAAGGCAAGCTACGAGGAGCTTAGGGGATTGTTCTTTCGTCATCTATGTTAATAAAATATCTCACAACTTTGGTCCTTTTTGCTTTGAAAGCAGTTGCTTAGCCCTATTCGGTCTATATGTCTTTTACAAATGGAGTCTTAATCAAAACGTATTTCGCAATTTATTACAGTCCCATTCTCTTGACACTGTCATGACATAGCTCTTCTGGAAACTTTGACTGGTTACTTGAGTCATAATCCTGGGAGGTTCGAGTTGATATTTTTATGACTAGGCAAGGATCTGCAAAGACTTGTGGAAATGAAAACCACGTTGTCAAACCACTAAAATTACAGTACATTTTTATAGAAATGAATGACGTAAAATATATTTAGTCATGGATTGCTAAACGTTGGCAATGTGCAGTCTCCATTGGCAATATTGTTATCCAGATTTGGAGCAATCTTAAATTGACTGCCGAGATGCTGTGTTATTAATATTGTTGATGAAACACACCACATTGTCAGCTGTTTTATAATTGTTTATATTTTTAAGATAAAATAAATCTGAGTTTAATTTAACTAAAAATATTTTTAAAATGTCGGAAGACATACTGTTTGATTTTCTGCATTCTGAAATTGTAAACTATTGTCTAAATAATAATAATAAAGTAAGCCAAAAAAATGTCATATTAGCGTTTATACTAGTTTTCTTTCCATAGGAGAATGACTTTTCATCGTTGGAATATATTGGATTTAACACTGGATATCGCCTTATAGAACGTCTAACGCGAGATGTACCACGATTTAAAGATGAGT